TAATACAAAAAAATCTATCTTTAAAAATCCCATAAAGCTAGAAAATTATTCTGTTAAATAACTCTTGCATTAAAAAATTACTGTTAAAGGATATTTTTAAATCGTTTGAGTTGAATGACAACCATGTGCCAACATTTGTGAAATGAATATAAGTCAACATCTGGACAGAAAACATATAGTTTTAAATACATTTTACCAAAAAAAAAAAAAAAAGGAGAGAGAGAGAAAGATTGAAAATCAGCTAGTAAAAGAACAACCGACTTTTACTTTTAAGAATATGGCAAACCAGATGTCTGAAGAAATCCTTCCAATTCAGGATATATAAATATACCTAAAAACAATCCTTAGGAAATATTTTAAGTGCATAGCTTAGTTGTCAGGGAAGTTAAAAAAAAAAATCGCAGATGCCAAAAACGGTGATAAAATTGTAAATCCTGAGAGAGAAAACAGTGCTGAAGATAGAGTTAGCCCCTGAGGCATTGTCAATCTTTTTAAAACCAATGCTCAAGTTTATTGTTATTGTTTTAATTGACTGTTCTGTGGTGAGAAGGTACATGCAAACTTACCCCCAAAGGCTGAGGGAGCTGAGAGGTTCAAGAAAGAGGTTTAAAATCCATCTTCTTAGAAATATTTTATAAAGACTTATAAACAGAAGCAATGTCTTGTGTAACCATGAGATGGTGAATTCTCACACCTGCCTACAGAAAATATTCTTCATATAGTAAGTTTTTAAGGTAAAGCATGCAGTTGATCTCATCGCATACTTTCTTGCTGAAACTCGTGAACAGTGGAAAGGTTAGATAAGCAGCTTTTTTTTTTTTGAGTTGGAGTCTCACTCTGTCACCCAGACTGGAGTACAGTGGCCTCGCCCGGCCACTGCAGCCTCGACCTGCTGGGCTCCAGCCATCCTGCCGCCTCAGCCTTCTGAATAGCCAGAATTACAGGCATGTGCTACCACACCCAGCTGATTTTTTGATTTATTGTAGAGATGAGGTTTCGCCAAGTTGCCCAGGCAGGTCTCGAACCCTCGAGATCAGGCAATCCACTCACCTCAGCCTCCCAAAGCACGGGATTACAGGCTGAGCCACCAAGCCCGGTGGGATAAGCATCTTTATAAGGGGTTAGTCATGCTACGGGCATTGTCTTCAGTTCTTGCTGCAGAATACCTTAGTTTACAAGAGTCAATCATGGTGGTTTTTCTTCAACATGGCATCACTCTTGCTATGCAACAGGCTGCTTTCCTACATTAACACATAATAATTGTACAGATTTATGGAGTATATAGCAATGTTTCCATTCATACAATGTTAAGTAATCTGATCAGGTAATCAGCATATCTATTGTCTCAAACATTTATCATTTCTTTCTGTTGGGAATATTCAGTATTCTCCTTCTAGCTATTTGAAGCTATGTTCTATTATTGGTTATAGTCATTCCACGGTGCTATAGAACACTAGAATTTATTTCTCTTATCGAGCTGTAATTTTGTATCCTTTAACAAATCTCACCCCGTTCCTCCCTTTTCCCTTCCCCCATCCCTCCCAGTCTCTAGTATCTTCTGCTCTATTTTTTACTTCTATGAGATCTACTTTTGTTTAGCCTTTGCGTATGTATGAGAACATGTGGTGTTTAATTTTCTGTTCCTGGTTTATTTCACTTTATATAACGTCCTCCAAGTTTCATTCATGTTGGTGCAAATGACAGGATTTCATTTCTTTTTTTTTTCATTGCCGGAATATATATACTATATTTTCTCTTTATCTACTCATTAAAACCAGTGCTTAAGTTTTAAAGAACTATGTGCCTGTGGGATAAAACATTTGACCTCTCCAAAGTTAAAAGTGAGATTGGGTATTATCTACAAACCGGGACCCCTGACAATATATGCTCAGCAAAATGGTAAATGTGGTGGTACTTACTTCTTAACCATAATACCAAATTGAAAGAGAACCTAAGGACTTGTTTGAGAATTTCTAATAATAGCCTTTCACATAAGCATTTTGGGGACCAGAAATTGTACTCTGTATAGTTTCAAAAATTACAACTGGAAAATATTAGCTTAAAGAATTTCAAGACTGGCAGTAATCCACTCAGCCTTCACAAAGTGAAAACTTTTCTGGCAGAGTAAACATTAACTTGACCTCAAATAACTCCCACAGATAAAGTTCTAATGAAACTGAGTTCAAAATAGAATCACAAAATACATGAGGACCAAGCCACTGTAACTCAAAGTTAGGCAAACAATAAAGTAAATGATCAGACCTACAATGCCAACAAATGTAATATTTAGTACTTATACAGCTTATGCAAAGCCGAGGAAGACCCTTTCTCTCATTTCCCAAGAAAAGTTAACCAAACATGTTTTTTTTACATATATCTTTTTTTATTTAGTTATATTTTTCTGATTGCACAAATCATTGCATAGAAAATTACAGAAGAGTAAAATAAGCAAAAATCAGCTATAATCTTACTATTTACAGATTTAAAAACCTATACATCCAGTTTATATATCCACATAATCAAAACAGATTTTTAAGCAACATACCTATTATATACCTATTATTTATCTATCTTGAAAGCTATCTTAAAATCTACATAGAAACACCTCTTATCAACAGAGTGCCTGAATGAAACGTAATTGTGCACCTAACCCTTAACTGTACCCCACAAAATCATAATAAAAAATATTGATTAAAAAAAAAAAGAAAAAGAAACATGTTAACAATGTTTACTTGAGTATCACAAAAGTTTATAATCAATTTTTTTCTTCATACATTTCTATGTTTTCTAATTTTAGGTGCAATGAAACTCTATTACTTCATAGCAAAATGATAAAGCTATTGATAAAAATAACAGGTATAAAAAACTAAGCTAATATTGACAATAAATAGCAGTAGCAGAAAACACAATTTAATTTGTGTTTATATAAATTACAAATATATTTCTCCAAACACCAAAACTAAGATATTTACTAAACAGAAAATTAAAAAAATCATAACATGTCATGGTATTGTGTTAATGTATGAAGTAGTTACAAAATTGGCGAGAAAAACTATAAGACATAAAAAAGAAGAAAACAGATGAACAATTCCCAAGAAGTATATGCTATTGGTTAACAATTTTGTGAATATGCTTAACCATATTAGTAATCAAACATATGTGAATTAAAGAGATTTTGTTTGCAATAAAAGTAACAACATTAAAAGTAATAACCTTGCTTGATTTTGAGATTGGAATAAGATGGGTAGTTTCTCTTTATTCAAATATTGGCTCACTATTTCTGCAGGGTAATTTATCAGTTTTGAAAAAAAAAAGTTATCAAATTCTCCCCATTGGAATTTCCCTGAAAAATAATTTAAATACTGCTCTCTGTATATACTAGGCACACTGGACCTTCAGTTCTTGAAATGCCCTCAACCTCTTCTTGTCTCAAGACCTTGGCACACAATGCTTTCTCACCCCAAATTCCTCCTGCTTTGGCCACCTTACTCCTGTGCATTACTCTTATTTCAGAACAAACCATCTAAACTTCAGTGACACATTCTCTATTCCCAAGACCAAGTCAGGGCATTTTCTTGGTATCCTATAGTTTTTATCTCCCAACACCATAAACATCATCATTTAAGTTATTGTTTGCTATTCACTTTTGTTGTACTGGAATATATCATCCGTTACATTGGTGTTTTGTTTAGTACTGTATTCTCAACACCTAGCAGAGTTAGCATTCAAAAAGTATTTATTGAATGAATGAATAGCATTAATGTTCCACAATACTCATCTTATGTTATTTACAACAGTGAAAAACTGAAAGCAACCTAAATGTAAAGATTAAGTACAGTATTATATATTTGCAAGATTAGCTACTATTCATCCCAAAAAAATGGCAATTATAATTTTTTTAATATGGGAAAATGGATAAATATATTCTAACATCATCTATATAGAAAGCACAGTTTATAAAATATAAACTAATCTGGTAAATTTGGGTGAAAACTGGTTAGTGATATTAGTTTTTATTTCTGTTGTCTCTTAAGTATCTGTACACTCCAACCAAGTTAGTTTAAAAATATAAAAATATTGATTTGGGAACCTCACATAGATATTAATTAAGCCCTTATATTTAGAAATATTCCAGGCATCAGACCATAAGTACAAGATCAAGGCACTTTTGGATGTTGCCAACATAAGTCACTCAGTTCTTATTCTAGATTGGACATAAAAATTCACTTTAAAAGCCAACATTTGAGATATGTCTTTGAGTACAAAGATGTGTATATAAATTTGTGTGTGTGTATGTGTGTGTGTGTTTGTGTGTGTGAAACTATAAGGCAGAACATTTCATACAAACTTTGTCCTGGATTCAATCTTGTGTTCTTGGTCAGGGACTGCATTGAGTCCTTTGGATCTATAATTTTAGCGGAATCTTTACACAGCCCTAATTGGTTCATGACCTTGCTTAATCACTGAATTTGCAGAGTGTAGAGATTCATTTAATCAATGTTCTGATTCCATCTCCCTCAAGCAGACTGTTTCCCTAACTTTTTTTTCACAAAACTGCATCTACTACTATGACTACTGATACTACATCAAACAAACATCAGTTAAAAAGGACATTGAGTTTTAAACAATGCTAATAAAAGTAACATTTTAAGAAATTAAAATAGCACACGAAAAAAGAGTCTCTCCATCTGTCCCTCACTTCTATATTCCACATGTCAAGATTGATCATAACTTTCTTTGTCTCCGTTTCTTTTTTCTTTTTTGAATCATCTTAGACAATGGGTGTCCATGCCTCAAAAAGTAAAATGAGAAGTCTTCTTTTAGATACTTATTCTCATCATCATAACCCTTACAGTGAATAGTCTCCACACTGATATTATTCCTCTGGGAAGTATGTGAGAAATTGCAGCGTAGGGAAGCTGAATAAACCTCTAAATTTTAATGTGAGATTACAGTCTCACTAAAAAGTGAGATTTTCCAAGATGCAGTCAAAACAATTGTGGAAGATATCAGTGGTGTTTAATAACGTGGTTAAAAAACAATGCAAGAATGCAGTGCAAGTGAAGCAGGTCTTCAAGAATTTAATCACTGGATTACTGTCCTAGAACATTCACTTCTCCCCTGGCTTGTCTATGTGGCTCTGAGATTTTTTTACCCTTTCTTACAGCACTTTAATTGCTGCAGTACCTTCAAAGAGGCTTGCTTTAGCTTGCTGTTTCCTAGAATTAGGATAAATGAATGACCCCAGGGATAGATGTTTGTAGTTGTCATTCCAAAAATAAACAGCAGTTTGTTTTCTGGCACAAAAAAACATGATATTTCTATGACAATGCCTATAGAATGTAAGATCAAGAGGATGATGAAAGATATCAAAACTTTAATGGCCTTCACATGAGCTTCTGTGTTGGAGTCTTTGAATCCTGTGACATTCAGTTGTATCTGCCTGTTGTGTCTCCAAAGGGAAACAATCAACAAGAAACATGTAATTAGGGATAGTGTAAATAAGAAAATGACTCCCAGATTTAGCAAAATCTGTTTCATAAAGAATTCACTTTTATCCATGTTGAGATGCCAGGCTGTGACATTCTTCATTTTATAATCATTAATAATCTTCACAATTTGTGGAAAAGTAAGTAACAGCGAAATAAGCAAAGATCCCATCAGAAGAGGGATAACCCTATTGATTCTACTCTTCAACCAGAGAAATATGTAGTTGGAAAAATTTGCTATCTTCAGGAAATAGAATATGATGAGGCTAGCGGCAAACCAGGTACTTGATTGATTGATAATTACCCATAGGTAACTAATATAGTCAATTAGGTTACCAGAAGCATACATAGCTGGAGAGAATACCTTTATAAATCCATCTGTAATTACTATCAATATCAAACAAATTCTAGAAATAGCTAAGCCAATGAGAATAAAGGCAATCATGGAGAACTTATTCTTGACACAGTCAATGCAGTTTACAAGTCCGATAAATCCATTCCCTAAAATCCCCAGTATTGATACACTAATCAAAACAAACATGAAGATGCTGTCCACTACACTTAGCATATCTTCCAATCTTTAATCAAGCTTCTTTACATCTATTTTAAATTACCTGCTGCAGAATGAGGCATATATTGACTGCTTGATAGAAGGATGATTTTCCTCTCTTTTATTATTATATAAGGTCTTAAACGTGCCCCCAGTAATGCCTTGCAATGAAATCAGAAATATATTCATAGCGACCCCTCCAATTGCATCTATAAAACTTAACTAGTCTAGAGAATGCATGCTCAACCTGAATGACTATCTACAATTTGTTAAGATGCAAATTAAAGTTTCTGTTTCATGGATTTTACTTGTCATCCTGAGACTATTTTGCATTTAGTAAATTAAATTGTTCAGAAGTGCCAACATATACCTACAGGATACAAAACACAACAGAAACAAATATTTGACTTTATCGCCTTCAATATCAGATCATTATCATTTATGTTGTTTATATTCAGGCTAGATATATAAAGAAAAATACTATATGGAAGTGACCAATAAATTTAGCTATTGAAGACACTTACGCTAAATGATTAATTTATTTTTAAAGAAAAATATAAGCTCAACACTGGATATGATAAACTTAACCAATATTATCTTAGAAAACTGTTGCTATGTTTTTATGCATATAGTTATTACATCCATGACGCAGAAGATTATGTTGATCATTCTTAACATGAAAGGCTCTTAGAAATAGTCTCTTAGTTTAGTATATCCAACTTTGATGGCACTCACTCATTCATTTACTCAATAAGTATTTCCTGAATTTCTAAAGATAACAAGCTCTTTTCTGGTCACTGAGGGAATATAGTAGCAGATGGGATCTCAAAACTGGTATGATTTATGGAATTTGTATTCTAATAAAGGAGACAAGAAACAATTAAATAAACCAATATATTGATCCAAAAACTAAAAGTGAAATCTAATATTTTTGTGCTTTTATTATGTTTCTAGCATTATGTTAAATACTCATTTTCTCATTTTAACTTCACAAGTCTTCAATCCATTAAGATAGGTGCTATTTTAATCTTTGAATAAAAAATTAAGTTTTAGAGAAGACCTTCTTCCATGTATGCTGACATAACTTCCATAATTAAAATTGCACGATGAGATCACACTGAAATATCAAGAACTATAGGAACAGACTATGAATGACAGCAAAACAAAAACAAATAAGTGAAAAGCAAGCAGTAAACTTAGAATTCACATAGAATGCACACATTGCAATTTATAGATAAGAATATGCATAGATATATTAGCTATGTAAACACTGTCTTAAAAAAGGATGCAATTTCAGAGAGGAGCAGCAACAAGAGACTGGCAGAAAAAAATGTGAAGATTTAGGGACATAACTTATAGGATGAAGAATGTAATTATACTAAAGGTAAATGAACTAATTACTCCAAGTAAAGGCAAGTCATATTGAGAAGCAAGATTTTAAAACTCCAACAATTCACTGCTTACATGAAATACAATTTATTTATCTACTTACTTTAAATAATGGAGTTTATTGACTCATATATTAGAAAATACAGAGGTAGACCTGACTTCTGGGTTTATTGATCAAGAATCTAGTTTTTTTGTTTGTTTGCTTGTTTTTTCCTGCCTCTCTGCTCTATTATCCAAATTGTTGTCTTCAACCCAAAGCAGACTTTCTTTTCAGGTCTGGAAAGGCTGCCAAAAGTAGCTGGGTTATTTGATTTCTTGAAAATGCCCAAGAAGAAGGAATGCTCTTCTTCAATCATCAGGCAAGTGATCTGAGCTACTGCCAATTCTTGTGGGCAGTAGAATGCCATGTGTTCGTCATCATGAGGCCTCAGTCAATACAATTTAAATATTTAAAAAATCCAGGAAGTTTGAAATTAAAATGGTGGAAAAATAGATCAAGCAAACGTTAGTCAAAATAAATTTGGTGTAACTATAATAATTATCATATGTAGTAGATTTTGAGGTGAAAAGCAGTATTAGAGAAGAAAAGGGGAGTATATTTTATAATGATAAAAATACTTGAATCAACAGAAAGATATAACAATCTTAAAATTTATGCACCAAAAAACCTAGCAGATATTTACAGAAAAGAAAAAAAGGACAAGTCTGAATTCATAACAAAGTTTGTAAAATACATAACTCAATAGCTCATATTAGGAATAGACCCAAAGTCAATAAAGACAGAGAATATCTGAAAAACAGTTTGACAAACTTGATGTGCTCAAGAATGAAATAATCCACATTCTTATCAAGTGCACATGGACTATTTTTACCAAAATTGACCATATGTGAGTCCATAAGAATATCTCACCAATGTTAAATGAATAAAACTTTTCAAGAATATTCTCTGGTCCCAAAGAAATAAAATTAAGTTCAATAACAAAAAGGTGACTAAAAAAGGAAATAACTTACTAAAATGTAAAAATCTATATATTCTTTCAGTCAAAGATGAAATAAAAACAAAAATAAAAAATATTTTGAAATAAATAATACAGAGTGAGTATCGTTTATCAGAAATGTGTGGGACCAGAAGTGTTTTAAATTATTTTTGAATTTCAGAACATTTGCATTATGCCATTAAGCATACCTAATTCAAAAATCTGAAATTCAAAATGCACCAATGAGCATTTCCTTTTGGTGTCATGTTGGTACTCAAAAGGTTTTGGAATTTGGGGCATTTTTTGAATTTCAGATTCTCAGATTAGGAATACTCAACCTGTAGTGAAGAAATGATTTACTAAAGTTTGTGTAACTCATTTGAAGCCATTCTTTGAAGTATAGTTTTACTGGTCAGGCATGGTGGTTCATGCCTGTAATCCCAGACTTTGGGAGGCTGAGGCCAGAGGTTTACTTGAGGCCAAGAGTTCAAGTATAATAATATATAGAAATATATCTCTTACAAAAGAAGAAAGGCTAAAAATAAACAAATTTTGTTTTTATCTCCAGGAGCTAGAAAGTTAAAAAGAAAAGTAAGAAAACTGAATTCAAGAAATTATAGAAACATTTGAAAACAATGAAATAGGAAACAATTGGTATTGTAATGTGCCAATGTTAGTCAAAAGAAAAAGAAAGAAAATACAAATTGCTACTTTTTTTTTTACAGATATCAAAAATATTATATTATGAACAAGTTCATACAAAGTTCCTTCAAGGGAACTTCAAGATTACAAGCAAATGCAGCCTAAACATAGATGCAAAAATTCCAAACAAAATGTCAGTAAATAGGATTCAGTGATATATAAAAACAATAATTAATTATAACAAATGGAGTTTTAAAAGCTAGTTGTAAGGTTTAAATGAAATACTTGAAGATATAGTCAATACAAAAGAAAGTCAGAAAAAGAACAGAGGATCAAAAATAAATGGAAGCCTGTTTCCATTTCCAGCATCCTCTCTCTGCGAAGCAGGGTTTTCTGCAGTAACTGCAACCAAAATGAGATTGTGAAGTAGACTGGACATAAGCAACACATTTCAGGTCTCATCACCCACAGAGATGACCGTCTAGTTACAGGAAAACGTGAGGACACAGCATTTGATTAAACAGTCTGATTAAAAGCTATTCTATATAAGAAAGGGATTGGCAGTCAAGGGAAACTGCCAGGGGAGGGGGGCACACCTCATCAACAAGGGTACCTGCATGATGAACATTTGTATACCTAACCCTGGATTGTACCCCACATATTTAAAATAAAAAATTTTTAAATAAAATAAAATTCTGATATCACAAAAAAAAAAAGGTAGAGATCATCAGAATGAATAATTAAAAGCACAATTAAATGTTATGCCTACTGGACGCCCACTGATTCTGCGTTAGGGTGAGTTGTATAATTATTTCATTATATATTACAATGTAATAATAATAGAAATAAAGTGTACAATAAGTGTAATGTGCTTGAATCACCCAAAACCATCCCATCGCACCCTCCCCATGTCTGTGGAAAAATTGCCTTCCACAAAACTGGTCCCTGATGCTAGAACGGTTGAGGATCGCTGGTTTAGGGGAGTACAAATAGTTTTTGGTTACATGGTTTCATTGTATAGTGGCAAGGAAGTCTTTAAGTGTACCCCCCATTCTCATCTGTGCACAACATACTTAATAGGTGAGTTTTCATCCTTCAACGCCTTACCCCAGTTCTTTTTCTGAGTCTCTATTATCGATTATATCATTCTCTATGACTTTGCAGATCCTTAGGTTAGTGGCCATTTATAAGCGAGAACACATGATGTTTGGTTTTCTATTCCTTAGGATGTTAGTTCCTTAGGATGTTAGTTCACTTAGGATAATGTTCTTCAATTTCATCCAAGTTGCTGCAAAAGACATTATTTCGTTTCTTTTTTATGACTGAATAGTATAAAATAAAATAGTATACATATATATATATAAAATATATATATACACACCACATTTTCATTATCTGCTAATCAGTGAATGGGCATTTAGGTTGACTCCACATCTTTGCAATTATGAATTGAGCTGCTATGCCCATAAGTGTGCAGGTGTCTTATTTGTATAATGTCCTCTGTTCCTTTGTGTAGATACCTAATGATGGGATTGCTGTCAAAAATCAGTTGATTGTAGGTATTGGGGTTTATTTCTGGATTCTCTATTTTGTTCCATTGGTTCATGTGTCTGCTCTTGTACCAGAACCATGCTATCTTGTTTACTACAGGCTTGTAGTATAATCTGAAGTCAGATAATGTGATACCTCCAGATTTGTAATTTTTGCTTAAGATTCCCTTGGATATTCTGCCTCTTTTTTGGTTTTATATAGAGATTAGGATTGTTTTTTCTAACTCTGTAAAAAATGCCATTGGTAGTTTGATAGAGATTGTGTTGAGTCTGTAGATTGCCTTGGGTAATATGATCATTTCAACAATGTTGATTCTTTCAATTCATGAGCATGAAATGTTTCTCCATTTGTGTTCTCCACTATTTTTTTCATCAGTGTTTCGCAGTTCTTCTTGTATATATCTTTTACTTCCTTGGTTAAATATTTTTCTAGATATTTCAGCTTTTTGGCTGCTACTGTAAATGAAATTGAGTTCTTGATTTGATTCTCAACTTGGTCGCTATTGATTTATAGC